AGACAGAAAAAGCTAAACACAGCTAAAAAAATAAAAAAAAAATGGACGACCCTAAGCTAGAGTCGAAAAAAAAAAAATAAAAAAGAAAAACAAATAAACAAATAAAAATTACAACAATTACAAAAAAAAAAAAAATTAAAAAAAAAATGAAAATGAATAAAAAAATAAAATAAAAAAAAAACAGCTAAACACAAAATAAAGAACAAACAGAAAAAAAAAAAAAAATGACAGTTAAAACGGAAAACTAGAAAGTCCAAAAAACAGAAAAAAAATTCAAAAAGGGGTAGAAATGAGAATTTATAAAAAAAAGGCGGAAATTACAGGGGTAAAAAAAACGAAATTAAAAAAAAAATGAAAACTAGATTAAAAGAAAAAACGAACAAAATTAAGGGGAATTAAAAAAAAATAGGAAAACTAGATTAAAAGAATTTAATGAAAAAAAAGGGCGGGGGGAATTTAAAATGGAGAGTAGAAAAAAAAAAAAATCATAAAAATTGAAAACAATAAGGTCGTAAATCAAAAATTAAAAAATTAACAAAGATTTTAAACAAAAAGTTCTTTTTCTTTTTTGAAGCCGTAAGCGAGGGCGGGATTCAGTTCCAAGGGCAACAGGTCAAATCACAGAGAAAAGTAGTCAGCAACAGTCCAAAAAAATAACAGGTAACAAAACAATACTATTAGAATACTAATCATCTGTAACTTTAATACATATCCTGCAAACTTGAGAAATCATGCTCTGATATTTGATTTTACGTTAAAAACGTCACTTGCGCGTGCTTGATTGTTACAAGCCGTCTTTCCTCATTCTATGACATGAAATATAAGCCTTATAGGAAAGATATCTCATTGAATCAATAGGGTTAGACATAGTTGAACTTGAGTAGAAAAGTTGGACATAGGTTTGGTTCCAGATTTGAATGAAAACGCTAGAAAAAGATCCGTTCGTCAATATAAGACGAAAATGGAGACAATGGCCTGGGTTTTATAACTATACAATTTAAAAAAAGGACATTAATCAGGATTATACGAAAATTTTGTGTGAATTGATTGGACGGTTTTTGAAATATTAGAAAAAAAGTTAATAATAATAATTTGGCACGCAGTGTACAAGCGTAGAAATTCTTGGAAATTACTAAGAACAATGACAACGGATAATGAAAAGTTGACTGATTACAGGATACAGACATGATTTATTTAAAATAAACATTAAAATATTCATTTAAAATATATCTCCAACAATTCAGGTTTCTGGTTAGCAGAATAAATCATTTTGTTTTGTTTGTTCACTCAGTTGAAGTCATTTCTGACCACCGTTCGTAGAAAGCACTTCAATAGAGACGACATTTTAAATCTTTTTGAACGAGTTTGGCGCCATGAATTTGATATGTCCTGGGAAATGATATATTTGAACGAAGTAGCTAAGTGGTTTTGGCTACTATAACCAAGTAGAATACGGTAGCAGTAATCGACTGGTACGCGTCGTAGTCGCAGGTAAGAAGTGTAGATCAATGGCATAGTCCAATGGGCGTCGTTATAGACTTAGCTCTCAGACTAAGGCTCTTTGACTCACCTACACGTCCGTCTGTATTTATGACGGACACCAGCCAATCATATTCCAGTGAGGAGGAACACAGGTGTACGCATATTCCATAATATCAGAATGGCATCCATATTAAATGCTTAAACTGGCGAAACGCTTTAAAAAGATGACACTTGTTTTGACATTAATGTTTTGGTTTAGTAGTAGCTTGCGATGCTGAGCGATAGCTACCCGTAACGCAAGTTATTCTATGTTCAATTCTCTCATCTTCTATAGGAAACTAGCTGTAACCGATTCATACGCTGAAAGTGTTTGCAAATTCTTCATTCTGTATTTTTTAGGAAAGACTCATGACTGTTTTCATTCCAATTCCGGATCATTGTTTCTGTCTTGTCTCATTTTACTCCTTCTTCTTGTCTCAAATATTTACCGATTCCATAGAAGAATTTTAAGCGATATTTTATAGCCATGTAACTCGCAATGAGCCTATTCAATCATTAAAGTAAGAATTATTATTGATCAGAATATAGGAATAGCAAAACCTTGAAATATTCACGGTTACAGCTAGTCTGGTGCTGCTTCTATATATATATATATAGGTAATTGATAAAATGCAAAGAGGAATCTGCAATGTTATCGGTCCTAACCTGGCATGTCGGCTTCAGTCACCTTCCCACCGGCGTAACGTAGCCTCCTTATTTCTTTTCTATAAATATTTTTATGTCGAGTTTTCGTCTTTTGATACTTATACTTTATGAATTCAAGCGCAGTACTAGATTGGCGGTGAGGTCTCATCAATTCACAGGTGAATTGGCTAGATGTAACCGTAGGTTCTATGCTAACAGTTTCTTCTATCACACTATTCGGTTGTAGAAATCTCTTCCGGTTTATTGCTTCCCGGTCAATTTAAATGCAGTGTTACTCATTATCTTTTGTCTTCTTTATTCATGGCCTTCTATT